ATTTAGTATTTAAAGTATTTAGTTCAGAGTATGGCATGTATGAAGCATTTATTAAATGGTAGGTGCTAGTACTTTTAATTTTGTTGCAATATTATGAAAAGTATTAAATGGGACAAAATCATTTAGTCTGAGATATCTTTAAAAGTTAGGCAGCAATTTTGTTTTGTAGCTTCTTTATTACAGTGTTAAAAGCCTTTACTATGTACTACTGCTATGTTTTGGTGAAAAGCCGTCTGTTTATTAAGATTGATATTTCAGGAGAGAAACATAAATGAGTCTTTCATCTAATCAATACCTCTGATACCTATCATTGTTCCTGGGTGTTCTATATAGTAGCTGTCAGCTTTCTAAGAAAAGATCAAAAGATTAGTCATTTTTTGCCTAATAAAATCAAACAAAAAAGCCATGTTGCTGTGACTGCCAAAACGCTTTTTAAAAGCTTAGTTCTGATATACAATCAAAAAATGCTTATGAAAAATATATTCAGAAAACCATTCAAAAATTGATCATTCATCACTAGTCTCTTATTCTCACCCAACATTGGTTTACTTAAGATATTAACTATGCCTTTTAAACATTTCTAAGGGCTTTAATAAACACGTAGTAGAAAAACGTGTGAAAGATTCATGGGGCAATTTTTTTTTTTTCCATGGTAAAGGGTTTGGTTAGCTCTGTTATATTGAGTTACCTGTTTTGTTGTTTCTTATTTCATACAGTGATTTATAATGTTAAGTGCTAGCACACCTAACAGCATTTCACAATGCATGAATTCAGAAAAAATATACAAGTTAAAACAATAGGTTTTAAAAGTCAAACTGATGTCTGAAAGGCTTCTTTCTGAGAAACTTCACACTCAGTAAACAGTACCACCACCAGGAGAGGGAGAGAGACTCAAAAAAAGCCTTATTAAGAGATGAGGGGTGGTCTATTGGCCAATATTTGAAAAACACTTACAGTATATTTAATTAATCTAATTACATGGTGCACTTACAGCTTCTTATTAATGCCCTCTGATAGAGATATGTGGCCTTGAAAGCTCAGTGCCCATAGCGCTTTGAAATGAAGTTGGATAATGTCCAGAAATTTCCATTAGTCCCCATACCTTTTGGAACAAAGTACTAGTAAAGTGCGTAAAATACATGGTGGTTAAAAATGTGGTATCTTTAAACATTCAAGTTTTTCTGTTTGGTGCATTTAGGTAACATAATGTGTCCCTACAATCATTTGGAGAAAGACTCAGAGTGACATGACAGAAAATTTGTATTTTATACCTTTCAAATGATAATTAGGACGGTCATAAGTTAACCTCCAAACCCACTAGTATTCACTTACCCTTGAGCACTAACGTTCCAGGCTGCCAACACATGCTATTGAAGGGCTATTCGCAATCAACTTGATACTCACTAGCAGGAAGCATGTGATTTTCACCAAAAAGCATACTAATTGTATTACACAGTGAAGCAATGTTCATCTATATTCAACCTTCCATAATGTTTGAGATTTAACACAACAATTTCATGGAAAGAGAAATATGTGGAACACAGAACCATGTGAAATCTTGGTACTAAGTTTTATTTTTAAAACACTGCAGGGATTATTGCCTTTAAAGAAAATTTCAGTATCAATAAAATATGAAGAGCTGTTTCATTTCAGAAATTCAACTTGTATGCATTAAGTTTTTCTACTTAGAAGGGTATAACTGCAATATTTTACTAAGTTGAAGTTTTTTACAAAACACTCTATCCCACGAGAACATCTTAAAGGTCAGCCTTAAGCCTGAGGTTCAAAATTAAATTGATGGAAAATTACATTTTCTCATTTATCATTTAAATACATACATAAAGCAAGCATCCTGAATACACCCATATAACAAGTGCACATGATTTTTTCTCTTAATATTGGGCACTGAATTTGTGTCTGATGCTTCTTCCAGAGGGAAGCATAGTGACAGTGACTTTCTGTCAAATAATTGTCGCTGTTGTTTTTCTGGTTAATATATATAATTAGGCTCAAATGAATGTGGATGAGTTGAGCTGCTGACATATTTAACTATGGATTCTAAGGGATTGTCTTCCACATAAATAATTTTGAAAGGCTATAAGATGAATATATACAGACGTACAAGTAATAATTTTTTTCTACTGGTGAAGAGAACAAACACAAGCCGATATTTTAAAATAAAAGTGATCAATCTGGACTTACATTTATCAAGCCAAATCTAAAATAAATAAAAACCATTCCTTATTATTAATAGGCCAGTTGATTAACTGTCCCTGAGATAAGGTGTAATAATGTGACTTTATAAAAATTCACGGTTTTTACTACTACAAAGAGAAACAATTAAGAATGTGGAAATTGTATATCCAGGTGAAGTCTGGACAGACCCAAAGAAACTACTGGGTTGATAATACACCAGTCAATAGATTAATAATTTTAAACCTAAGAAATTAATCTGTATTAGGGAGAATCCTGGATAGAATTTAAGGCAACATTTATATATTTTTAAAAGAAAATTCATTTTAAAGATTCTTTCAGCAGCCAAGATGAATGATAGCTTCCAAATTGTATTCTCTGTTATGAAGACTTATAAATTATCTATGCTGAAGAGAACATTAACCAGTTAAGTACCAAGTGCTTCTGCACTAGTTCACGTCATACCAGTTTTAGAACAGCCTCAAGAGAAATACTATAAATTGAATAATCAGTGCTGCCTTTTTTTTGGCAACTCATCACTGAACCAACCTAATCATAGCTGGCTTGTATACTAGGAAGTACAGATCATATTACATTGTAAAATTTCACATTCGCACAGGATAATATATAACAAAACAGAATATTAAAATGCTTGATTATATAATGTCCTCTTCTAGTAGATAAAGGTTTATAAATTCCTGCAGAATTTTACCCAAGGAAATATGAATACCCTTCTCAGAGGACAGTTAAATCTGTTTGAATATTAACATAATTTTTATGGTCAATCTCCAACTTGTTAGGAATTAACCATATGTGAATACACTCCTCCATTGTGACCCTACTAAATATTGATAATATTTTATTACATAGTATCTACCTTACTACATTCACATTTAGATAAGTATGCTTTAAAATGTTTTTCTTATTACTTTTTAAACAGGCATGACTAAGCGTGTCCACATGAAATAAAGTGATTTCTAAATTGGTGGAAGCACTTGAGAGAACCAATAAGCTCTAGAAGAATTTGGTATAAATGCTGATGATGTAGACAGGAAAAATCTATTTGTTGAGATTCAATTAAATGGTTTTTGAACCTTCCCATGATAAAAAACATCGTCATCCTTAGCTGCCTATAGGAATACTTATAATCTTCAAACTCTAAAAGTATGTTTTAGAATTTTCTTCTCAATACTGATGAAAAGATTTTCTTTAGATTTGGAGAATTTCAAATGCATCTCCTTTTTTTCATTTTTATTTGTTTTGGCTCTGTTGCAATGCAACGAACACAAGTACTTTCAGTATACTTCCCTATTGAAACCTATCTGCCAGATTTTGTGCACTGGTAATTGGCAATTAGAATACAAATATATTCCTTTCAGCATATAGAACCATCAGGCAGCTGAAGTGTATTCTTTTGCATATTCGTGGGTTATATCGTGAAAGGACCTAGTATACCCAAGGTGAGCTGGGTGGCAAAGTAGCCATGCATTAAAGCCAATTATATGTCATACATAAAAGTGCACGTTAACTACTTGAAAAAATTCACATTTATTTACTGTCAAACCGTGTTAAACTTTACACTGGATATTAGTGATGGGCTCATTATTAACAGGTTTACACAAAGGGATGAAAAGAAAGGCAGAATTTGGCTGAAACAATTTACATTTCATTAGAACTTTATCATAAAATAAATTAATTACTAAATATAGGCAGAAGGAATATGGAAGAGTAATATTTATGTTTTATTTCATTTTTTAAAAAACAATAGGCACCTTTTGTTCACTAGAAAGTTTGTGAGAAGTGCCCAGTGCCCTCGCTGCCCCCTGTTCAAGAACAAACAGGGGTGACACACAACCTTTTCTAGATTTCACCACATTTGTGCAAGGCATGGCATAACTGGCTTCAAAGAGTTTTCCCCCCATAAAACACGCTCTTTTGGCAATAAGAAATTTAAATGTAAGAATAAGGACTAACATGTCAAAGCAGAACACTGTATACAGTGGAAAATAAGTGAAAATGGGTAGAACTTACCATGACAAAGTGTAAGAAAAAACATTTCATAACATATGTGCAACCAAGAGCTTTTCACAATATTTTCTTCAAACTCTTTAAAATTATTTTTAATGACAATTCTATTTCAGTTGGACACAAATGTATTTATTTTACCCTAGCAATAGAACAAAATATAATTTCTTTAGCCATTTTTGAAGAGTTCATTGTACAGTTGAGGAAACATATGAAATAAGGCCTGTGGCTTGATTGCTAGTGGTTAAACATGTTTTCAATCTTTGCCTTAATGTAAAAGGTTTGCAGTCAACTGCAAACTGCTGCAGAATATCTCTCCTGCTTTTCCAAGTCTTGTCAGGAACAGTAAGGTACAGTAAATTTGTCCCACAGGATTTTAAAGCCTACGTCTTGTATATAATACAATGCAGGCCTACAAAAATGGTGCAGCCATATTTACAAATTTAGTTCACAAACTGCTGCAGTAAAATGGCTGGAAAGTTCTGTTTTGTTTGTTTCACAATTTCTCTAAACAGCAGCAGAATCTTAAAATACCTGGTTGGCATCTCTTTTCTTTGTAACAAATAATTCATTTTAGTATACTCTGTGTATATACAAAGTTTTTTTACGTTTTATAAAAATTCACAGAACTGCAAGGTTCAGTCATCTTTTTTTTACACTGGAGAACCACAGGTCAACAGGGCCATCTCTTCAAGTGGAGTTTCAGGGAGCTGCGTAGGGCCAATGGAGTCTGTCTGTATTCACTACTTGCGTGTGGCCTCTGGAATTCCTTGGTGGCGCTATTAGAGACTTGTCACCAGCTGCATTTGTCCTTCTCTGACGTCTCCTTCTGGAATACACCCTTCTTTGTTAATGGGGATTATGTACCCATCGCTGTTGCCCCTGCTGATCTGGTAGCACATCTGAAGCCGGTGGCCAGCTCCAAGGTTTGGCATGCTCTTATAGTAGATGTCCTCGTTCTCACTCCTCCGGGACGGAGGCAGGTCTTCTTCCGTGTCGGGGCTGCTCTCCTGATCGGGAGAGTCTCTGAGGTTGGGCATGCTTGTGTACAGAGAGTCTCTGTTGGGGGACTGGAGATGGTCCTCGGCCTCGGCTGTCAGCTGGGATACGTAGCTGTCAGTCCCCTCGGGCTTTGCTTTCTTCTGGGGTTGGTACAGAAGGGAGTGAGTCCTCTGAGGGATGAGTGGGGCCTCGAGTTCTTTGTGATGGAGCTCCAGTCCAGGATTGTCACCATGCATTAGAGAAGAGGCGTCTGCCACAATAGCGTCATCTTCGCTGCTGCTCCCTCCAATCACAGGCTTGACTGGTAGTGTGAGCTCGAGGTTGTGAGCCTTGCTGCTGCCCCGTAGGTTGTTGTGCACTAATTCTGAAATGATCATCTTCTCAAAAGCGGTATCATTCAGACTTAGTCCACAGTCCACAACCTGCACGCTGTCATTATAGTCCCCCTTGCGCAGTGAGTAGCTGTTGTTAAAATTACCATTTAGCGGTAGAGTATCCATGGCACTTGTATCCCTGGCATTGTTCAGTGAATGTCCTGAAACAGAAAAGGGAGGGGTCCCATTACTGTCTCTGTTCCTGATGAGAGGATCGTTACTTCTTTAGAACAAAACTTTTTAATGTCGTTCAGGACAAAGTTGTATTCGAAAGCTAACACTTGGAAAGTGTCAGGCTTTCCCGCGTTCCCAACTGTAAACAGTTGCAACCCCTTAAATAACAGGAACAAGTGTGAAAAAATAATACTGTTTTCTGGGGAGGGAAGAGGGCATACAGAATGTTGATTTATCAATTTTGAGGAGACAGTATTTATCAATTGATTTTTGGTCAAATCTCTGACACTCTTACAAAGAAGACTTCACTCCATGCCCTTGCATAGTTAATGCAAAGCAATTCATTAGTGACATTTACATTTTAAAGTACGAGACTATGGTTTATAAAAATAAAATTAACAGAATTTGTCCTAAACAACACTAAATTAAAAGGGAATAAGTCACATACAAAAACTGAAGGCAAATGTACAACATAAACCCACAAAACTGGCAAGCAACTCTTTAAACAACATTCTAACATTTCCTTTTTCTGGAGATGAAGTAAAAAAAAAAAAATGAAAAAATGGACAGACACAAAGAATTCATGTTTAACAAAGATAGCCATCTCTCACACTGACTGGACCAGGGCCCACAAGCACCATCCAACAACACGATAGACAGCAGGTGGAATGACTCACTTTGGACAACTCACATCATGTCTGTCTGCTCAGGCTATCTGGCCTAAGAGTAGCTGATATATAAAAAAAAGTAAAATGATTTATTGTAACATGATGAAGAATTTCTAGGCTTCTCAGCAACTTAGTCAGAGCAAGGGTTCAACAAATTAGATTACCAGCAATAGCAGCCTTTTGCTTTTTCATTGAATATTTCTTATGATTTTGAACTTTTGTTTTGGTACTAATACTCTAATGCAATGGCCCCAGGCTTCTAATGGTCAAAGTTTGCCTGCAGCCCTGCAGTTTGCATCAGTCACAGTGACAGCTTCTAATGAACCAGCAGAGTCTACTATACGAGACTGGCCCACAGACACCATGGGCATGGAGGTTAAACGCAGAAATGTTAGGAGATTTCTTAAATATGGGTCACAGAAATTAAACCAAGGATAAGTATTAACTGTGGAATGGGAAAAGGGTGTCAGCCTTGGCTAATACATTTTTGTCTCTAAAGGAATGAAAGATTGGATACATCTGCTGAAGATATGAAAAGAGGTTTAGGAGGAAAAAAAATATGGTAACATGCTCTCTTTGTATTTTTCTACAGACACATAAACATGTAAACTAAGACATCACAGTGCTTCTCAGGCAGATGAAAAAAAAAGTTTTAGAAAAAATTAAATGGTCTGTACCATGGAAAGTTAGGTTATTCATTCTCAAAATCCTAGAGAAAAAAATCACTTGTCTACAGATAGGTCTGGAAAAAAAAAAGAATGAAATGATGTTATTGAAATGAAACTGACCACTGTGAGGCTGCTGCATTGTATGCAAGGCTTGGAGGAGTTTAGGAAAAAAAATTAATTCTTGGAAAAAATAGGAAATTTCCCTTTTTAGTGCTCACTCCACTTATAAAGCTGCAGATTATCCTAGAAAACTCAATGTTACGACCAATAAATAACTCATAATTGCTCAATTATCATTAGCAGAAAATAAGAAAATAGGAAGGATCATATTGTTGACTCATGCTATTTTAAAAATTCTGATCCAACTTCTACATTTGAAAAATTGACAATTCGGTTCATATTATGCTCTGTGGCACATATAACAAAATGAAGTAATGATAGTTCTTTGCAAGGCTTCCTTCAGCCTGGTTGACATGATTCAATAGCTTTATAAATTCATATATGTGCCACAAATTTTAGAAGATCTATTACTAGGAAACATTTGATGTTTTAAATTACAGTGACTCGGGGATCGGTTGCTAGCATTTGTTTCCTCCATAGAAGTATGATCTTGTCATTTTTCTTTCTTTGTATGTTGTTTAATAAATATAAGAATATATACTGGATAATCCAAAAGTGTTTTCTATGATATACTGCAGATCTAAGCACATCTTTGGCTGGTTTTGAAGAGGCAACTTTTTCTGCCCAAGTTCAGGTAATGCACTGGAAGACTTTCCACAGCCTGTAGCAAGATTACTGTGGGAATGCAGAAATGATAAGTCAATTATTCAGCATTCGGGTTAACAGTACCTCAGGCTTTAAGAAGCAAATTATTTCAGCATTGCATGTACTTAAGTATGAACAGCATTTGCTACAGACCTCTATTACTGACAAAAGGCAGTACATGTACTGTTTGAATTTGGAAACATGTGAGTTGCAAATTGTGAACCACTTGCCCGCTGAGTCTACTTCATGACTGCTACTTATGTTTTAATTGTGCCGGTTAAAAATCATGCTGAAAAAATTTACATTTGATAGGCAAAGTTAAGTTTTACTCCCATACTTGTCTCTCTGTAGGTTGCTAGAGGAAAGCATAAGGAAAGTAAGAAAAACAAGAGAATGAAAAGAGAAGCTGCAGTTACGTTAAAAAAGAATTTCAAGAAAAAAAATGGAAACGAAGTTCTGTGTTTACTTTAGTGGCAAATATCAATTACAAATAAAGATTATATGCTAATAGTAATTATGTAATAACTTTCACCAAAATCTGTTAATATTAAATATATTTTTACAATAAATAAGCTATTAAAAAACATAATAAAATACAGGATGGGTTAGTGACAATCTCTCCTCCTCCCCCCAAAATAACTACAGATAGAAACTAACTAATATTAACTTTATTCTCAAAGTTTTTTAAGACAAAAAGAAAAACTACCATAAAGCTGCACTATACTATAGTTTGGTTAGATTGATAATGCTGGATGCAGTTTTCTATACCTAGGCATCCAAATTATCTTTATTAGCTAAGTCATGCCAGAAACAAACTCTGTCAGCAAGCTTTAGAGTCAACTGAATAGTATATTACATAGATAGGATACCTCTAAATGATATAAATCTTGAAGATGGGCTCTCGGACCATGTGATGTCAGTCCTGTAATAATATATTAAGATTTATGCCACCTGTGTCAAAAACATGGATAATTATTTGTAAATACTATCACGACTGAATTTTTACTATACTATAATATAGTGCAGTTTTAGAAGCCTGGCATGGGCAATACCATAATTCTTTTCAACTGAGAAATTAAGGATATAATAATAAATATATGGCAACTTGAGTATTCTAGAAAAAGGGTAAAGATCAGAGCTCTGTTTGGCAGCAAAGAAAGGTAGTTGTATTCGTAAGTATAAGCACACCTGGTGAGTTAAACACGGGAGCTGAAGGGGCATTACATACAACTGTTTCAGCGAGCAATGTGTTATAGGGGTTGTTAGTGCCGTGGGGTCGAAGAAGAGGGTTTGTTAGTAGGTAATTGCCAGTCATTCCTAAAGCAAAGAAACAGAAAAAAATACATCAGTTCTCTTGTTTTAGTGTTACAGTTGCAGTAAAGTACTTTTTGTATTCATCAAGGGTAGTGGATAAGTTGGCAAAGGAAAATCTGCTGAAATTCTCTGACTGTATTTGAACTACTAATTTGAAGGAGAAAGGGGAGAGGAAAGTTAAATTTCAATAATTCACAGGTGCTTTCTAAGTCCCCCAAGTAAACACCTGCTGAGGATGACATTTACTAATTTATACAAAATCACTGTTAAACAAAAATGGCAATTAAATGCACAGAGATCAACATTATGTTTCGAGATGTTACTGCTTAATATTAAAAACCTAACCACTGAAGCCCAGAAGAGGGAATCTCAAACTTTCAGGATTTACAGGTGTGGGATTATCCCTCATGAAAACATCTGTGTTAATACCAACTTTGATACAAGCAGGAGGAAAAACAACTTTCACAAACACGTAAAAAGTATGACGCATTGCACCAAGCTTCTCTTAGTAAATGCAAGAGCACACATGCTGAGGGGAAAAAAAGAGACTGCATATAACAAATTATTAGACCATTCACCGATTCTATGTAACAAGACTTTTCCTTCTATGATCTTATTTGCCAGGTTTCAAAATTGAATCATTGAATAATTCATTTCCTTTTTGACAGTCATCTTAACAGAATTAGGTAAAACATCAGAGCAATGGAATAAACACACATTTCACTCATTCTAATTGACAAATTACAAACCTTTCAATACTTATCAAACATATGTTTTGCATAGCTAATGTAATTTGGCTAAAAATATTTTAAAATTCAAGTTGGTTTTGATGCCATACATATGCTTTTTTCATTTTAAAACAGAATCTCATCAGAACAATGCCAACAATGAAAAACGTCTTTAATATTCCATTGTGATAAAATATATTATATTATAACAGTACATCAAAACTGAAATTACTTGATAGATTACCTCTCTAAGAACATATAAAATAATATATGATTTTTTTCATAATAAATTGAAATTTACTAAGCTTGTACTCAGGAATATGTGTCTCTGGATGCACTTGTCCTTATCTTGCTAAGTTATTTTATTTGCCATATTAATTTAAGTTAGAATTATACTGATTATGTGATGAGTATAATTGTAGACACATTAAAAATAACAATTCAAATGTAAAAGTTACTTCATAAGTTCTCACATATGTTAATTATTTATGAAGAGTTACTATAAATGTTTTTAACATTTACTTTTTGAAAGAAATATAAAAACAGAAGAATTTTACAAATAAGATTTTTTACTACAAAACTGGCACTGTTTAATGTGAGCAGTAGTTATTCTAATTATATTAATTTTTTTAAGAGAAAATGTTCATAAATGTACATTTAGAAAGGAATAATTTGTATCCCTAGGAACATATTTTAATCTGTGGCAAAGTATGTTCTCAGAAATTACATTTTTCAGCCTTACTCTATTAACGTGGAGTTTGAAATTATACTTTTTGCATTACATTATTGAATAAAAAGAATTTATATGTACTTTAATAAAGGATAAAAGATGACTCAACAGGTTTAAGAAAGAGCTTATGATATAAACTCATTTGAGAGAAAAAGTCAGTGTTTCCTCTAGAAATATTGTAAATTGGCAAAAGGCACAAAATTTATATAGTAAACTCAAATTTTCCTAGTAACTGACCTTGATTAAGTGTTGAAGTGCTATTGATGTCACCTGAGATAAAAGAAGATTCAGATTGTTTTCTCACAGTGTCATTCCACATCCTTCTTATACGACTCTATTAACATAAAATAGCAAGACACATGTTATGTTAGCTTTCCCAAGCTTACCTTACAGTAAAGAAACACAAAGATTTACCTTAAACAATCTGTGTAGGATTATCTTTTGACTTTAAAAAAAAAGTGTATTGATTCTGTTCTTAAACTAAGGAAGTCTATACTGCTGTGTTTCTTCTTTATTAAGGATTATTTAATCTTCTAATCTTAAAGAAATGTTCAATTATCATCTTTGTTTAAAGTGGAGATGATGGTTGACTAACAAATGTTTATTGAATGCTCCCTGAGACCTGTATTATGTGAGCTTAGGATATCAAACTATGGTGACATACTTCTTAAAGAAGTATAGCTCTCGAAAAAGGATGTTTATACCTAAAGAAACATTTTGCAGCCATACTTAAGAAGATATTAAAACCAAAAAACTAAAGAGGGCAAGTATCTGCTACCTGGATTTTTTGCTACTGAGAAGACAATTAGTGCATCTGAACAGAACATGTCTCAGAAGGCATTCTATAGAGAAGGTTAATTAAAGATGCTGTCAAAGTCTTTGTTACCTGTGTGCCAGAGGAATAGCGAGCACTGGTTCTGGTGGTGGATGCCTTCACCGAGCTGTGGGGACTCTCAGTCGGGAGGCCGCCGCAGCAGTATGAATGTCTGAAGCACTTGCCATATTCTTTTCGTACCTGCATGGAATAACCACGAGACCAAGGGATTAATAGAAACATACTTGCTCCTCTTGCTCTCTAATTAAATGAGCAGAGGAGATGAAAAGTTCCGCTAACCCTTTTCCGTGGAGATTACAAAATCAAATTCAATTGAATTGGTAATCGGAAAAACACCTCTGTCCACTAGACAGTCCATTCGGATTTTAAAGTGTGATATAACATGTAGAAATATGCTTTCTACCCTGTTATTATTGTAAAAATGTAATTAATACAATGGTAATATTTTAAAAGCCTTATTCTAGCAATAGCCTTAGTCAACCCAATTTTCTATCTCATGCCAAGAAAATAGGATAAAAATTTAGTATTTTCCTTGCTTAATTACATTTAACCACTTATAATTCAGTCATTTAAGTTTCATATGTTTTATGTCCTCTTAGGTAGGTCAACACATAAACTTCTTTTACTGGATTGCACAGTGTTGTGGGTAACTTCTTTATAATGAAAGAGTACATTGGCACAAGAATAAAGGGAAATAATGTCCTTTGATACATATGCCATTAATTAGGATGGAATGTTTTCTTCATTTTCTGATGTGTCTAGCTCTAACACTTAGTGTAGAGAGTCTAAGATGCTTATTCACTTCATTAGCACATAAGGGAACTATTTATGCAATTTCCATTCACATTAATGAGTTACCCACGTAATTTCCCTTTTCCCCTGAAGCCTGGATATATGAATAGATAGAAAAGTTCTTAGGCCTAAATGAAAGACTACAGTTTAAAAAGTGGAATCCAAGCAATGCTAAATAATAGGACCCCACTTAGGTGGTCAAGAATTAGGAGGAGTGGGGGATATTTCTGGATTCTGTGCAGCTATATCTTGGCATACAAATATGCTTCATGTAGCTAACAGCCAGACTTTGAAATTATAAGGAGGAAGGATGAAAGGCTGCACATGAAATTATTTTTTTCTAGTAGGTTTCAAAAAACATTCAAAGCCCCCTGACAACCCTCCACACCCCCTCCCTGCAGATCATAGTTCTATGACCACTATTACTGCAAAGACCAACTTCTTGACACTTATTCCTTGGGAAATTAGAGAATTAAAGTCACTAATGACCTTTAAAATCTAAGTGCACTTGCATTTTCATTCTTTTAGCTTTATTTAATTATAGCTATTAGAACAAATAACAATGTGGTTGAACTTTCAAAGTATTTTCTTTGTCTAAATATACTCACTCAAGCAGTTAGAACCATGATTTTAGCTAAATCATCTTATATTATGTTCTAACAACTCATCATGGCAATATCCAGTATGACGTATCCAAGACTAAGTAAAACTTGTTCAAATGAAGTGAAACACAATAACTTAAAGAGATAATTGTTAATTAACAAGCACAGCAAGATCTCTGCAAAATTAATACACAAACCCTATGAGGAAATAATGATGATGTCATTCTTTTTCTGCTAAGTTTATGCTTTATCAAAAACATCTGACAGAAGTTATGAATATGTGATCATCTGCATGTATATAACCTGCTCATCTATGTAGAAAATATATAAAAGCCAAAGTAATTACAAGGTTATACCTGTATAATATTTAGGAAGTTAAAGTTCAGTGTTATTTAAATAAGACATGATACATCAAAAAAATTTTTGCACATTTAATGGCTATTAACTGCTCTGAAATGCCAGATAACCAAGACAATGGCAATCACAATGGTATTTTATCCAAATAATACCCTCTGGTGTTGGTTTTGCCTAATGCCTATATTGCTATGAATGTACATTATCTGTCAGTATTGCACATTCCACTGTCATTATCTCAAAATTATAGCTTATTCTGAACTGATGGAAGTAACAACACTATCATCTTGTCAGGACTGAAAACTTAATAGTTTTCACTTTCACAATTCTATTTCTCTGTTCAACTTAGTGACCAACTAAGAATAAAAAGACTACATTAGATATGCAGACAGGGAAAGGATGATACCGAGTGAAAGGCATGGAAATTTTAAACTTAAATGGCAGCCAGTTTATTCTCTTAGGTTTACATCTTACAATAGATTAAAATTTTTCACCTGCAACTTTAATTTTTGAATCATTTTTGCTGACTCCACTTAACATTAAATCAGGACAAAATAATAAGATGGGAAATATGAAATTATTGGGTTTTAAATTCTTTCAAAATTACTCAAAAGGCAACATTAATATTCATACTTATATATCTTCTGCTTTTAAAATTTATGCCATTTAACCTTATACTCAATTTTTGTTTTGAACTACTGTATTCCTTATACTGAGAAAGAACAAGATTATTTAAATTTTTCTTTATCTTGTATACCTTCTGCACAAAGCATTTTTGTAGACATCAAAGAAAAAATCTTACAAGTATATACTTTATAATATTGCCAAATTGAGATTCAAGAGATGACTGGTGTTGACATATCTTATATGTGAAACCTGAACCTCCTGACTTGCATTACAATTAATTTATGAGTAAAATATGATGCTATTAATAATATGCCAGTGGTAACTTAAAATCTCTATTAAATGTATTATTTTCAAATTAAAGAACAAGTTTTCACTTACTTTCTTTTGGAGAGCACAGTGAAAGATGAAAATGAACACTCCCTGGAAAGCATTAAAGATGGTGAAGAGATATGCCATCACAATAGTCTCCTCATTAATAAAAAGCAACCCGAATGACCAGGTTAGGCCAAGAAGACATAGAAGAGCGAACGCGCCAAGCACCCAAGACCTGAAAAAATAAAGTGAATTTTATTAACAGATTCAATGAGAGAACAACACATATCACACTTAAATATTAGCATATCATTAGTAGCAGTTGACTTTCTCTATGTTCATATTCAAATTCAACAGCATTTTGGCTTTAACCTTTCATTGATTAAAGAAAGAACAATAGCATTTAGTACTGCAGTCTCCAGTGAAAACAGCAACAGCAGGTATGACCTTTTCTTATTCAGAATAAATAAATATGAAAACTATATTAAAATACAAGGTGTAAATTAACCCCCATGACTCTATTGTCTTTTATGTGCATTGTGGTAAAAGAAATTAAGGAGTCCTTAATTAGTTTACTCCTGTATTTTTATTCCTGTGGTGCACTCATGACACTGAATAATGTGACACATACAGAAAGGTTAAATGGCAGATAATCACTTAACAGCTGAACTTCAGATTCTAGGAAACTAATCTTAGGTGAACCTAAGGTTTTATAACTAAAGCATGAAGAAGCCTAGCTGAAATGGGACAAAAACATGAGAACAACTTCAAAATAAAATAATTTTGGAGAGATTTCATCATGAATAGCTTAAGGAAAAAAGAACTGTAGAAAATAGGACGGAATGAAAGGATTTAAAGTCAGTGCATTCCATGTCTAACTAATGATCTTACTTGATAAATGGCTTATTATCTTCATAGCTAGAAAGCATTATAAGCAGAAAAGAGAAACAAAATTATTAGACAGAATTAAAATAGAAAGTAATAAGAAAGCATTTATATATTTTATAAAATTAGTCAAAATTAAGAAAGTCAAAATGCAGAGGCAAGCAATTAAAAAAATAAAGGCATATTATAGTTTAAAATACTCTAGCAAATAAGATATTCCAAAATAATTTAAAAATTAAGGGCAATTCATGATATTGACGGATTTGTAAAAATATAAATCATGCCATAAATTTGTTAATGTAGCATTCTACCTTACCCAGGTAAGTCCGTATTATAGTAGCCATCACAAACACGGTAATTACTGGTGTAGATGAGAAGACAGAAAGAGGAAAAGGAAGAAAAGAGAGAGATGCTAAAGATTAGCTCTCTCTCTTACCATGCAACATGCAATGAAGCTGGCACTAACCTATCTAAAACATCTAATTTAAAAAAAATTACCTTTACTATAAAATCTGCCATTTTTAACATTTAAAATATTTTCTACACCCCATTATAACCAACTTGAACAATATCTCCTCAGATTTTAAATTAACTCATATTTTAAAAAATAACTGAAAACTCTATCAATTTTTTTCAACAGCTATCGATTTTTTGTAATTGGATAGCACTTTTTCCATTGATATTTCGGTTTTTTTCAACCCTGAATTAAAGTAAACATTTATTTAATTATCATGAAAACAACAGATAATCTCCAAGTTAACAATAGTAATGGAGCAAATTCTCTTAGGAAAACAGGATTAGAAGTAGAAACTGCTCAGAATCCTTAAATCAAAAAGTCATTTAACAAAACAAACTTAATATAATCATATCAGTCATGCAAACAGGAACATCATTTTGAACTGCATTTTAAATTTAAATGAGATTGCTAGTTTATGGAATTTCCATAAAGGCACTAAAACAGTTTTTTGGCTCTAGATCATGACAGAAATTATTATCTAATTTCTGACCAATGTCTGTGACATGGTAACAGTGAGATTCAAACTTGATCAGTAAAATTTCATTCTGAATAATTTCTACAGTTGAAAGATGGTATTCATGTATTCGCTGTGGAGAATATCTTTCACTTAGTTTGTCAAGCACTAAAATTAAAATACAAAATACTTACTTAATGTTTTCCAACCTGCTAGAATCTGGTTTTAATGTGTTCGAGTGCTTCACCATTTTGCATAATGTGATCACCAGAAAGATAATATTTAGCTGTTACAACAAATAAAGAAAGAATTAGATAACTATGAGAAAAAGTTAAATACATTATTACAATATACTTAATGGGTTAATGCAGTTAAATATCAATAACATGAGTATATGGTAGACACTGACTCAATTTTAGTTTACTTATCATTACTTAGGCAATGATCAAGTTGAGTCTACACGGAAAATTTTCTGGCCATGTATGACTGATTTTTTTAATAGATCATTTGACATGAAATTGCAACCTCATTAAATAAGTATCATGTGGTGATGATTAAATAAATTAAAGCCTAGTGTCTTTAGCTAGAGGTACTCCAGGGCTAAACACCATCTAATGAAAATATGAAGTGAGTTCTTTAGAAGGGGCATTTACATTATGCAGTTTATAATGGAAATCTCTCTGAATTTGGGACCCTAAAACTTAGTTGAGAGTCTAGTTCTTGATTTTGACTGATAAAATGAGGAAAATAAGATTTGAACAATCCTTTTGTAAGGTGATGTTTAAGGATCAAATGAGATAACTTATGAAATATGGTCCCTGGTTATATAAACTAAGACAAACTTTTAAAAAATAAAATTTATTTGCTATTTAAGTGTTAAAGGACATCATTTCTTTTTTCCTGATGTCTCTACACTGAATGCAAGTAGGTAAATTCTAAAGAAAGTCTGTTTTGAGTCCCTCCAAACACTCAGTTATGCAGCGATTACTAACTGGGGAAGATGGAACCTGACATGGAAGAACAGTCGGGAATCAACTTAAATGAACTTCAGAAAAAAAAGAGGTGTGTTTCGACTGAGAAGAGTTAGGGATATGTAATTTCCATTTGCTTCTATGGAAGTCTGGCAGAATGCTGCACGGAGTGAAGGCAGTTCCATTTTTATGCCCCAAAAATAAAACTATGCTAAATTGCTATTGACATTTTATTTACTTCAGAATACTACTTAAAAAGACAAAATGAAGTTATTTTGTGAGCATTGTGATTAAGTGCAAGCACAAATGGTATATTTAGAAATATGTAAAGACAAAAGCAATTCCTTAGTGGTAAATAATCCACATAACTTTGTCACAGTAACATAATTTTTACTGAGTCACAAAACCATCTGATAAAATGATAACACTATTTTACTCATACATCACTACTTCTGATTTTGTAATTAGGAAAAATGATGTAAGGCAATAAAGAAAATTTCCAAGCCCTTTCTAATGAATTTAGGAACACAGCAAAAGCTTTAATCTAAGCCATATATCAGTCCTTTTGTCTACTGCACCTTGTTATTTCTCTTAGATGTAAAATTTCCTCTTAAGGACTAAAATGAGGTTAATGGGAATAATTTGCAAGTGCTGGCAGATAGCATTCCATTGTTTGATGTTAATTACTTGAAGACAAAAGAAGCTCTTCACTTAAAAAAGCACTTAAAAATTAATTTCTTAAAATATTGGCCTAGAGAAAAAGTAAATAATTTTGTTAAAAAAAAAATTCTAGCTTTGTATTCTGGAGGTTATAAAGTCCAGTTAGTCATATATAAATAAAGGCTTACATTTTCAGGGATATTACAGTATCATGCATTTCATTCAACTAATATTTACTGACCTTACTGCTCTACATAAGAACGTGCTTATTGTATTGTGAGTAAGACACAATTTATTGCCTTTGAGAAATTAGGGAGATTTTTCTGATAGTACAATAAATATTTAATTTGGTTTTTAAAGAATCATGGTACAGTTATCTCTATAATTTTTGTAAAGACAAAATCAGCAATGTTTTTATTTTTTATTTTATGTAACAGTAAGCCTTAACCAGGGCAATTTAGGAATGATTAAAAAGAAGTACTCTACATATCCTAAAAACAAACAAACCAAAACCCATTTAAAGAAACTGATTACAACTCTTAGGTAAGAATGGCTGCCTTAACAGCTTCAAAGTCAAAATCATTTAAACGTTTTGACCCTTCTTTTTGAACATCCTGATGAAATCATTTATTTATTACAAACTTCCAGACTTAGGGTTGCCCCTCCACTCTCACACTTTTTCTTAAATAAGTTTCCAAAGCACAAAGGGCCACAGTTTGGAGCTAATTATTTTCTAAGCATATTAATTATCCCCTCAGGAATAAAATAGTAGTACATTTAAGGAAAGAAAATATATTGTTTTGAGAGAACAGCATCGAAACATGTATATTATCTAGGGTGAAACAGATCACCAGCCCAGGTTGGATGCATGAGACAAGTGCTCGGGCCTGGTGCACTGGGAAGACCCAGAGGGATGGGGTAGAGAGGGAGGTGGGAGGGGGGAACGGGATGGGGAACACATGTAAATCCATGGCTGATTCATGTCAATGTATGACAAAAACCACTACAATACTGTAAAGTAATTAGCCTCCAACTAATAAAAATAAATGAAAAAAAAAAAAGAAAAGATATTATCCACTGTCATGTCAAAACTACTAATACAAAGAAAGAAAAGAATGTGAATGTAAAAAAATATGGATGTATCGAGTATTATGCCATAAAAAGAAAACTAGTAGAAAATGTGAAATTGTGGGGGTGAATCCATTCAAATATATTTTTCAATGAAGAAAAACCAAGCAAAAAAAAAAATCAGGTATTTAAGAACTAGCTCATTTTCTAATAAAATTGAAATAAAAATGAAGTGTACCTATGTAAAAATAGAGCTTAAATATGAAACAAAGACATTTTTTTCTTGTTAAGATAGAACTAACCAATTTGGAACTGCCACAGAAAACATATTTCATTTACTCCTTAAAAAACATCTCCCCTTCTCTTCCCCTTCCCCTACTGCGGGTTTCTTAATGTATACATGTTCAGTGTTTCTTCCTAGCTGCAAACATGCACATGACATAAAGTTCAGACAATACAGAAAATTACAGGGAAAAAGAAACAGCACCAAAAACCTATAATCCTATTCCAGAAGTGCGTGCGTGCTAAGTCGTTTCAGTTGTGTCCACCTCTGTGAGACCCCGTGGACTGTAGCCCACCAGGCTCCTCTGTCTATGGGATTCTCCAGGCAAGAATACTGGAGTGGATTGCCATGCCCTCCTCCAGGGGATCTTCCCGACCCAAAGATTGAACCTGCATCTCTTAGGTCTCCTGCACTGGCAGGTGGGTTCTTTACCTCTAGGTGCCACCTGGGAAACCCACTGAATTGATTATTTTACAAATTTGTGATGTTGAGTATATTGCCAAAGACTACATAGCTTCTATTAATATACTGTCAATGCTGAGATTCAACATACTGTCTTCTAGCTCCATGGCCCAATCTTGTCAATAAAATAGGCCAGTTTATTCTGGTTCAGAAAATTAGGAATCTCCAGCAAAAAAAGGATATACTACACAAAGAGTTTTGTAAATTTTTAAAAGGTTCCACTTCTCTAAAGAGTAATCTAATTACAATTCAATAAGAGATGATAAATGAATTGATATAGTATTAATATATAAAATTAATACATAAAATCCTGTATGAATGACATAAGAAGGTGTGCTTCTCAAATGATTCCCATTTGATGGACTTGCCATAATAACCAATTCTCCATTCCCTTTGCAAAACACTACCATCCATAATCAGCAAATGGCTAAAATGTCCACACACTATTCCTACTAGCCAAACTGTACATTGAATAGTTTTGTTTTCTTAAACCTGATTGTGCTAGTTATATGCACATACAGATAAATATCACACAAACCAATAAAATCCTAGTGGGGAAAAAAAACTGTTGTTTCTAACTTATTTAAAATTGCTCCCAAAAGGTGTTCCTAAAGTGAGTCTATTTAAAAAATAAAATCTAAAATCCTAGAAAAATAATCATAAAACCACAGTAGAATTCTTGTATCAGATTCTTTCACAAGTGCCTGTGAATTCTCTAATTTACAGAAACTGAAGATAAAAATATAGCCAAGGCACTAGCAGTCAGGTTGCTAAGAAATTTAGTTAAATCTGACACTAATTTAATCTTTGAATTGTGACGATACACAATTAATAAGGCAATGGTATCTTTAACAGGATATAATATCATTATTTTAAGACAAATTATGAAAAAAGACATGCAAGACTTATTGTGAATCATAAAAGCAAAAATGCTAAGTGTGAACTATTTTTCTTCAATGCCACATTAAAAATCACTAATATATATTATTTCTGGAAAAAAATGTCTACTATCTAAGAATTGAACATTTTAATACATTATCACCAAAATACATGAGTGAAATGTTTTCTGAAATTAAACAAAATATTTACTGAAGTAAAAACAAATTTTTAAAATTTTGATTTAGAGTTCTCGTATTTTCTCCAGTATTCAAAACTGCAAATGCTAATTTTTAGTGTCATTGATAAAAATTGTTCCTATGATCTTTCTCAAGAGGCAATGCATTCAAATAAGTCATAGTTTTGTATAATAAGACATTTCAATAGATTTTTTTCTTCTCTACTCTTGTTCTTTTAAAATATAATTATGTGAATCAAAACAAGAAAGGCAAAAAGAAACATCTCTGACAAAATCTATTGTTCAAAACAGTCACCTGAAGACTGACAACCTTAGTTTCAAATGACATAACTCAGTGTTTTCGTCTTAGCATTTTCCCTATGACATAAATGGCTATTTCCAGCCATATACCTTTGTGCTTTTTATGTTTCTGTTTAGAGTATGTGATTTCTTTCTCCTCGCTTTTTTCTTTCTGATTTATTTTCCTGCCTTTCTTATGCATTTAACAAATGAAATCACAACCATCAATGAGGATTTCTCCCTATTTCCACTGGAAGACAGGCAAAAAGGATGAGAAGAATTATCTTCACCATCCAACCACTATTGTTATCCCTTCAAGTCCAATGAAACCATTTTTTGACCTCATGTTCTTTTTCTTTCCAACATAAATGCTACTAAGTTTAAACACAGTATTTTGGGATAAGTTGAAAGGTGTTATGCATCAGTGAGAAACAAAAAAGATGGAGTTACAGCTATGTACATAAAGATTTGTCTAGAGCTGGTATATATGTCGCTAATCATTCATGTAGAAGCCTCTAGTAAGTACAAGGTAAAAGGGTTGTGCTACATGTTTTATGTTAATTCACCAGCCTAAGTGTCCATAATGAAGATTAAGTTTGGAGATGAAGCAACTCCTCCAGGAATTAATCAGATTTTAATTCTGCTGTCTCTCTATGTGTGTACACAGGTAAACAGATAGGTATCTCTTAATGGAATTCTATGTGAAAGAGTGAAAGCAAATTGAAAAGAATTTCAGCTAAAAAGTGTTAAATTGCTAAACAGGGCATTTTCTCTTCTAATAACAAATAATACTATCCTCCTTATCCCCCCAAAATAATTTCATAAATTACTGTTAAAACACTCTGCCAGTGTAATTTGCTGATAAAATTCATCACTACTTGATGATATGGCTTAGCTAATTCTCACTCACACTGATGATCATGAAAATACAAACAAGTTTAAAGAAAGAAAAAGGTACCATAGATTACAGAAGTGCACGGTTTGTTTTAAAGCCATCCACCTGCTCGACTGAATCATATCTGTCTGAGCTTAGCAGCTTAAAATTCATTCCACAGCTTGCAGTGCTGACATGGATATGATAAGACAGAAGAACAGAAACACCACTCTGAAGTAACCTAACTGAACTGCACATGTTCTGACCCTTTTTGTCCTCCCTAGAGCTTTTGCTACCTAGCAAATGCAACTCTAAAACTGCACTTGTATCTCCAGATCTTTGCTGTTAGCCAAGCAGAAACCTATTTCTCCCTGGGACTAGCAGCCAGGGAGGTGTTCTCCGAGGAAGACTTCTAAATGAGTGTGTGAGCTGAACTCTTACTGAACTGAATTAATTATTAATGATGCAGATGGAGCTGTCCAAATGATAAGAACAGCTCCTGACGTGTCATGATCCAAGCTTTCATTAAACTATTTCAGGCATACTAATGGTTTCCCACTGCTCATTACTTACAAGCAGTTTTCTCATAGATATAATAACTCTAGTGCCTGTACGCAAGACATCCTATAGAAATACAGAAGTAGGAAGTTTTATCTCCTATAACATGTTTTTTTTTCCTTCATTGAAAATGATGAAAAATGTACACTTATTTAATACTACTAAAGTTACATGATTTCAATTCAGAAAGCTGGAGATACAAAACTATGCTTTCTAGGAATATCAATATGTATTTTTTGTTACTTCTTAAAAGGGTAGTATACAATATAATTTATTTTGTGTAATTTGCTAAACTGTGTCTGCACTGATTTTTAAATGACCTATATCACCATGAGATATATACACACACACACTAATACTAAACAAACATGTGCTGAAAAATCATATATCTCACTTTAGTTTACATTTGAGATAATGTTTTACACTTCAGTACAATTCTTTGTCTTTCTATGTTGGGACGATTAGAGGGCAAAGCAATTGAAGGAGAATTACTCCACGGATCTGTACTGTGACTGCTACCTGCTGTTTTGTTTTGTTTTTTAAGTTGAGAACACTGTTCCCCAAAGCCCTTCACATCTCAATATAAATGATTTGGTAGAAGATAATAATGATAGGGCTATAAAATAATAGTAGGCTCTCACTATAAATGGGCAACATAATAAAACATCCTTCTTTTCTTGCTGGAAGCTGAGGATAAATGAACATTAACTCCTTTTGCCATGTGAAAGGTTTTTTAATATCCTAAAGTCAGTATTTATCTTCTGATATAAAATAATCTTCTGATATAAAAAAATGAAAAATAAAGAAAAACTGCAGTAGGACAGATGTATAGATCAAATATCCCTACATTGGTCTTTACAATTTTCAAGGTATCAATGTTTGGCCAACAGCTCAGGGTAAAAAGAAGCCTGTGTCTGTGAGGACCATACCTCTTCAACTCAGCTGTTTGTCATTTAAATCAAGATAGGCTCAGGCTGTGTTAACTTAAGTAAACCAAGAACAAACACTGGGGCAATCATCTGGATGGAATAACTCTGATGAGAAATCAACTTTCCAAGGAACACTTGGGAGTGTTTTACTGGTGTGCTTACTACAGGCATTCACCTCAAATTTTCATTTTACTTTTATAAGTAACTCTATAAAATGATTCATTTTAATGACAAAAGTATATACACTTGAGATAAGTGTCCTTGAACTACTAAAATTTTTTCTTAATTTTATTAAAATACTAGTAACTATAATTATAATACTACTAACCATAGGAAATATCTTTTTTTTTTTTGGAAATATCTTAATAAGCTTACTGTCTCACTTTTTTATAGAAAAAACAACCTTAATAGAAATAAAAAGGCATAGATGATATATAAAGTTGATTATGCTTCATTTTCAATCTTACAATAGTCAGAAACCATTATTTATAACAGCATGATGTTAAAACTGAGTGAATAGCTTTTAAATACTGAAATCCAAATATTTTAGCTTTTATAAAAATTTCAACTATATTTCAAATGTTTGATTAGCGATAATTTAAGTAAAAAAACCTTAATGTCTTTTACTTAGTTGTATTAAGCTCATTTTAAAACAAAATTTCTTGGAAACCAATATGAGCATTTGGTATTTTAAGTCAGAAAAATAATTTTATTTCTAATGAATTTAAAATTCATTTAGTATTATTTTATTACTCTAAGCTTAAAAAAAATAACTGTTTTGTCCCTTAAAAAGAATCTGGGTTTGGAATTTATTTAAAGGTACTAAATTACTAATTAGAAATATGATAATTAACAGTAACCTAATTTTCTTTTACTTCTATAAAACATTTATTTAATTCATAAATGCTATACAGGCTTGGTGCAGAGCTAATACTATAGATTATGAAGACATAACTACCTAAACTAAACCTCTTAGTAAAAAACTTCACTAGTCAAAAACAGAATATGCTACACATATTATTCCTTTCTAATTCTCAAACTACTTTCAAATCATACAATCTTCACATGGCTTTTATATATACATTTACATATATACATATATTAGATTATGACATCACACTTCTGCAAACTAAATTACAAATGAGGAAAAAAGTACTTCTTAAAAGAAAGAGGGTTTTCAGAAATAGTACTAATTAGCACATATATAAACTCTCAACTATATCATAGGTAAAATATGATTATTTTCTTTTGTAAGCTAGACATGTTAATAAAATCTATGCATATATAGACAGATAAACAGTAAAACAAATTATCCCTACTTCCATTGTACAGCTAAAATGGCAAAAATAAAAAGGAAAGAAAAGCAGAGTCTGCTTACCAGAATAATGAAGGTAACAGGTCCAATGAAACTCCATATAAAATAGTTATCAACATGAAGCCAGCAACTATTAGGAAAAGAAAAGAACATTAAGTGGATCCTCAATATCACAAGTAAGACAGAATTTTAAAAATCTAACAAGCAAAACTATCTTTGCAGTTGCCTCTGAAAATTAATTTATCATGGACAAGAACAATTTTAATAATTGAGTTGGCTCTGACTTAAAGAGTAGTAATTATTTACCTCAAACTACTGTTCTTCATTTCAGGTTTTAAATTTGATAAAGACATACATAATTGTATCGAGAAAACAATAACCTCCCACCCCAATCCTGAAAAATTAAAACCTCTCAATTTACTAAGAAAAACTTAAAACTCAGCATTCCAAATTGTCTCATTGGTCTTATCTTCAAAATTTGCCTTTCGGATCTACATCTGAGCTAAAATGTTTCACCCATCTGGAACACAAAGGATAAGAATAAAATAAGTGTTCAGATGTAATGTTTGTTGTAAAACAGTATATCACAAATATAACACCTCAATTGGGAATGGATGGATACTAGGGGAAAAAAAAATCCAAGCATAGAATTCATACATTATTAGAGTAAATGATGCATAAACTTATTAAGACAGATTTTACTTAGTAGTTCATTCTTCATACAACATTGAATCCCCAACGAATTTCTTTTGTCTTTCATCATCTGTGTAGTCAAAAAGCTTTTTTTAGTCCAAAGAATCTTTATATAACTAATTTTATCAAAGGAAAAAATAAACAGAATTGGAAGGCAAATTCATGCCTCTAGCAAACAAAATCCTTAGAAACATGGCTATGTCTACCTTCTGTCACTTTCCATAAATATCTGTATTTTTTTAAATAAATGAATGACAGTCACTTATTTTAATCCTTTCAAACTGCCTGATAAAATATTATCAAAGTAAAACATATGGGATGGAATGTGGTACTGTCACAATTCAAAACAAGAGTTAGCTAGAGGGTCGGCTGCACAAAGAGAGCTAATGAAGCATTAGCTTAAAAACTGAGTAGTTAAACCTGTCAGATGCTTTAAGTTCAGAAGAATTTCTTGCTTAATATCTTTCTAAGGCTAAACAGTTATTTACTTTTTCAATTTGTTTCAGGTCAATCTTTTGTGTTAAAAAGAAAGTCCATAATTTAGAATCTGCCTCACCAGAGTACAAATCCTCTGAACCTAGAAAATTACAAAAGACTTGATTGTAATTTGTGCACGGCATGCCCATTCTCTTACCAATAAAGCTTTCAGATGCTATTTTAGTCTGTCAGGGACCCTCACTGACAGCTAACAGGCTTTAAAAAAAAATTATTCACTTGAAAAACACTCAGGTCACTTGCAATTACTTACGCTTTTTCTGTTCCATAGCTCTTATAGTCAATAGCAGCTGAAACTCCAACCACTGTGGCAGGAAACAAGTAACCGGCAACATAGTAGTATTTCTTTCTTGAATATTCACTTTCAAAGACTTCAACCAACATTAGATAGAGCTGAACACCTTCTAGACACATCCAAGCAAAAGCAGCCAAAAAGAAAAAGTGTAACAGTCCTGCAAATATTGGGCATGCAATCTATAAAGGAAAGAAGCAAAAACCCAAAAGGGAACACATCAATATAAACAGACCACTCCAAAACTATATTAGTATTCACTGATAGTGTCTTTAAGATACATCATTATTTAAATGACTGCCTCTTAAAAATCTTTTATTTTAATAACTGAAAGTACTGCTAAATATGACTCAATGCTTATGAAGTGTAATGCTAGATGTGCTAAAAATATCATCATTATAAGACATTTATATTTTTAGTTAAACTAAATGCAAATAAGAAAACATTAATTTCTCTTCTAGAATTACATATTTTAAAATCTGAATATTCTATTTGTAGATTATTTGTTTTAAAAATCTTTAGAAAAATTGCTCCCAAAAACAAAAGTTCTACTTTTTTTCTATTATAGAATTTAAAAAATTTTGCTTTAATGGTAAATATACTAGCTCTAATTAGTTAACATCATTTTCCTGTCATATGTGGAGCATTCTCCAATTCATTCTATGGTGTAAACCATTAACTAAGTTATCTTTCTTACATTGAGACCTCATGATAAAGAATAAATTGCTCAGATTATGAGGAAATGATCACTGGTCAGAATGACTAGGTAAACAAAATGAAAAATTTAATATTATCTTTTCATTTTAGTGTCCCCAGCGTTCTTCAACTCAAATTACGTGTTTTATTAAAACCCAGAAAAATGCAACTGTACCTTAATATAAGAAATGAATTAACCCACAATGTTACTTAATGATTGGGTTGTCTTTTATTACAAATTATCCTTTAATATTGCCATGTCAACTATATTAAGTTATAAGGTCAAATATTAACAGCAGTGTATGTGGATAACTTGTTATAATAATAATTTTCAGAGATCCAAGGTCAACAAATGGAAGGGGTGCTTACCATGTATTTTGTCTTATCAATGCCTATTAGGAAAATAAATTCAGCAATAAAAAGGTTGATACAAAGGTTCTTGTGAATAGTATTACGGTCACTCTGTAGACCACGGAAAAAGCAGAAAGTGAAGATGCAGATAGCCAGACAAACAAGGGAAATGACGATTCCCACCCAGGTGATGACTGTAAGGAGTAATTCATGAACTCCATCTTTGTACTGGAAATAAAAAAATAAATATGAAGGACTTTAGTATTCTTATGTTACATTAAATAAATATGAGTTACACATGTGACAGTTTGTCTTTTAATACTAAACTCTGAATATTCATGTGTGTTCAAATGGGGCTCAATGCTAAAACAAATTTTTTTTCAATCATGTAACAGTTCAATACTATCTTATTGAATTTTATATTCAAAGAATGATCTATGAAAGTAGAAGATTCTACTTAGAAAATGACTGAAATTATTACTTACATAAACACAGAAAACATTTTATAATAAAGACCACTTATTTAAAAATAATTGGCATTTTAATGAATTTCCAGACTAACAAATAAGTCATATTTTAAGTTTTAATTTTCTCCTTGAGATTTTATATACTAAGAGTTAAATACATAGTAGATCTGAGAGTTTTCACGCTGTAGTTCTTAAAATATTTTTATCTTCTGGGTATTGTTCTCTTAAACAGAAGAAGAAATGAATTCTAAAATATCCCAGAAGTCTTTCTGATCTTTCAAAATCTGCAGTCTTATCTAGTGTGCAAAGTGCTTGGGAACTTACAGAAAAGTTTTGAAATGAGATTCAAACATTTAAGATGGGGAGGGCATGTTAATATTTAAAGCCTCTGTCTCTTTTATAAAATCTATTGTTGCTGTTAGCTTTTTAAATCCCTGACGCCTCTGCTTAACACCTGACCACAGGGGGAAAACTTAGAACAAGTCTATGAAGTACATGATTTTGAGAAGTAACAATAAATATAGTGTTGAAACTGCCTAAAATACATGGACAGTGTAGAAACAATTAGAAATCCACATTACTTTGTTTGCTTTTTAGTTATGATAAGCACCCAAAGAAGGGACAATTACACAAGCTGTTTTGAATCTCTGAGGTTTTTCTCTGCTACTAATTAGAAGTGCAAATACTTACTGCAATTTCCCTGTGGGCCATGAGAATTGCAAAATTGGTTAGGTGGCTGCATGCACACGTCGTGCGAGTTTTATTAGTGTCAACCAGCTTGCAGCCCTGGGTAGACCAATATCCCATCATAGTTCTCTCTGAGTAGTTCCAGAAGGAGCAGTTTGCATTGAAATAATTGTCAGGCTGGGAAATAAAATGACAAGATAAAATTAGGATTTTATACTCTAAGATGGCAATAGCAATTGTTTAATATGTGTAAAAGGTAATTTAGATTAAACTTTTGCATGTTTCGGACTATAAAGTTTTTCATCAGCAAAATTGTAGACTATGTTATACAAGGCAGATATCTAACTTAAAAGGGGCTTTATAGTCCGAAACACTCTAAAGTGTACTCTAAATTACCAAAGACCCATTTTACACAATTACAATTTCCATCTTCTGATTTTACATACTGATGGTACATCAGATTCATTTTTTCTTTTCTGACAAAATTTGCTCTGATAAATTCTATATGGACCAAGTGTTTAAAAATCCATCTTATTTTGGGCCTATTTTTGTTCTAAGAGACCAATAGAGGTGATTCAAGGATCTAAAGAGAGTGAAGCAAACTACAGAAAATATGAGAAGAAAACAGCCACACAATGTATTGTTCTTTGCCAATCCTGGAGATTTACATGGCTATCTATGCCCACTTATTCACTCCACTATAACTACAGCCAAATTCTGCAGACAATCTTCCAACACAGTGCAATTATTTAACTACTAACTTGCGTCCTAAGGTATAGAAGAGGAATCACATTTCTTCAATTCTATATTGTTAAAAAAAACACTGCTTGATAATGTGTGTTAATACAATCAGTAAAACAAACCAAAAAGATCTGCCACATGAAAAAAGCAGAGTCCTAGTACTCTATTATTATGCTGGTAAGGTAAGAGTTAATTTTCATTCTAAAACAAATTACAGGCATTTACATTTTCCTGTTGATTACTGAATTAGCTTTCATTAAGAATACACTTAAATTCTAATAATCACTGAACCAGGCTCATTTAATTTTATGTTCACAGACTTAAGTAAACTTGTGTCTCTGACCTAGCCCAACATTTGAAATTCAAATAGGAAGTCTTTTCTTTCCTCTCTGCCACTTCTCCATTCCCCTTCTCTCAATCCACAACATGTTGGTTTTGCTTTCTGTCCTCACTGGTTTTATAACCTTCCACTACTTCATTAGCATACATAACTTACATCAATGTGTGGCAAGGTAAAAAGCACAGGATCTGTCAAGTATACTCGGCTGGATTCTTTATTGATTGAAACTGAAATGACGTGGGAATTCACTGCAATGGTGCTATTTCGACCAATGAAGTCAGCACCCAGTTTTATGGTTGCATTTTCGGTACTAAGGAACTGTCCCAGACTCCGGTAAATGATGAACACCAACTTTGCAAGACCTAGGAAGGTAAAAACAGTCATATGTCTTTACAGAAAATATGCTTATGAATAAGATAAGACACAGTAAAGTAACAAAATGAAATCTTCATGAAATCTTTATTCAGATTAAGTTTACTGGGAAAGAGTAGGTGTTATTTTAAATCTGCTTTTAAATGTTAAGCCTTATTTGTTATGCTAGGAGTCAAATACTCAGCATTTTAGAATTAACAGGTTTAACTAAACAAAAAACCTATCAGTTTTTAAAAGACTTTGCTCCATCTTACCATTCCTGCTGTTCTGTTTGACCGTATTTGCAGAGAGTTGGATTGAGCTGCCTGCTCCTTTGATGCCCAGAGGAAATTTAAAGTCTTGGACCTGTCCTTCTGTACTGAGGACTGCAACTTCCAGAACTGGATAAGGTAAAAGATAAAGGAGGAGAACAAAGGGGCATTCTTTATATTCACCGACAAAAAGGCAAATTGCACAGAAACCACTATTCTCCTTGTTTACTATTCTAAAAACTTTAGTGTTCAATTACAACAAAATTATGAACAAAAAAATAAATTATTCTAAGAGGTCTTAAACTTTACTACTTTAAAAATTTTGGTGTAATCGTTTTAAAATTTTCTTTAGAGTTTTAGATATCTTTTGTCAACTAATTCTAGTCTTTTGGCCTATGAATATGAAACGTCTGATTTATAGCACACAACTATCAAAGTTTCACAGAAATCATGTTAAACAAAAATATCACAAAATTATTTTTTGACTCTATGTTAAAGTAATTTTCAGTGACCATTACTTGGTGATGGTAAAACACAATAAGAAGTATAAAATTTGAATACCTCTACTGCATGTAGATATCTATTTCTATGTATTGCTACATAATGTATTTTAATACATAAGATTACATAGGTCAATTTTGCAGTAATAAGTTTTCTATAATTTCTAAAAGTAGTTGCCCAGCATAGCATTATTTATGAGAAAATGTCTATGTCTGGCATTACGTTCATACTTCCCATTAATTCTCACTAGTAGTGATCAATTTTTACATCCTCAAGTTGGGCAATCTGGTCGGCCACTTGTTTTGGTATATAATGTTTTACTGGGACTCAATTATCTATTAACATATTGTCTATAGCAGTTAAGTATTTGCAGCTTAGGCACATGGCCTGCAAAGCTTAAAATGTGTACTACTACTTGGATTTCTATAGAAAAAGTTTGCAAAGCATTGCAGTATGATCCAAAGTTCAAAAATTCTAATGAGGTAGGAACATTAGGAAACATGTTAGGAAATCAAGTCAAGTCAATAAAGAAACATTAAGAATATTTATATGATCAGCAAGACTGTTTAAAAAATACTGCTCCACTCTGCTTAAAAAATACAGTAGTAATATTCTCAACATAAATTTTGTCTACTATCATTCCAATAAAAGTTATAATACTTTATATCAGCATACATTTATTAAAAAGAACAAAAAAGTATTATTGCAGCATACATTTATTAAAAAGAATGAAAAATATTACTGTTTCTACTAGAGTAAACTATTTCATATTAGTAATCAGAATGTGCCATTTATTAATGAAATGAAAGGAAATGGATGGAAAAATTTTCATTTCATATTTCAGATATTTGAATTTTTAAAAGTAACACATAATTCAATAAATACAGTCCACATACTTTTCTCTAAATTTTACCCTCTCTTATGGCATATATCCTTGAATAGCTATTTCTGTACTTAGATAAACATGTATACATGTGTTTGTATGTGCATACACATGCACATACACACAGAGTGTGATGAATTAACTTACTGCCTTTTAGGAAAATGAACTCATACCATTATAGAGTAACTCTTGGATGCTATTTTTAAAAAACCTTTCTCAACTTTCTTTTGTAAAATACTTACAGATTCAACTATAAATATGAAATCATAAAATTACAGAGATTTTTATAAGCTACGAGGCCACATGTCAAGCACCTGAAATATAAGTTTATAATGATGGACCTATAACTCTTAGAATTCTACCTGCTGCAGAAGCTGGTTGAGATACTTTGCTTAGAAAGATTAAGCAGGTGAGTATATAGATGATCACTTCCATGTGCGTGGGTAATGCTTTGAAGGAGACAAGATGAATGACAAAATAAATACATCTAAAATATACCTCCTTCTTCTTCACACTGAAAGGGGTTCTCAATTATTAATTATTCTTAAAACAAGACAGAAGACAGAGTAGAAGTCAATCTTTTAAGCATTCATGAAATATCCCAAATATATATGAACAAAGAGTTGATTTCATTTAACTTAAAATAATGTCAATAGTAAAAATAATTTTTTTGAATTTTCAAAAACAGGATCAATGATATAGATCTTAGCAGAGATGCAATAATCAACTTTATACTACAAATAAACAAAGATAAAGGGAAAATTTCCTAGAAATAAAACTGACTAAAATAAAAATTCAACAGTTTATGATCACTTAAGAAAATGAACTCATGGTTAAATATATACTGAATCCTTAACAAACTGATCCAGTAAGTATTAAAAAAATGTTTTTCAACTCATTTCATAAGATATAAATAATCTTGATGTATAAAACAGTAAAAAGAAAAATTACAGAATATTCTCACTTATTTAAAGTAGGTAAAACATTTAATTATATATATATGTTAAGTATATCCTAAACAAATTGAGTTTAACTGAAAAAGGCATACATAAATTAATGCATTAGAAAACACATTAATGTCTTTAGCCAAATTAAGAAACAAGAAAATATTAAGCAAAAGAATTCAACAAATTTCAACATTCATGTAGTATAAAAAATCTTTATAAAACAAGAAGGATAAAACAAAAATTCCTTGCCTAGATAAAGGTTTAATTATCAGTTAAGGGTTAGTATCCAAACCTATAGAAAAAAAATGATGAAAAACTAGAAGCATATTTTTAAAAGTCAGGATGATCCCTATCACAAGTTTTATTTAGCACTGTACTAAAAGACCTAGCTAAGACAGTAATTCAAGAATAACAAAAAGGTACAAAGACTAGGAGGAAAAAGCAATTTGTTAATCATTTATAGAAAATATAGTCAACTACATAGTAATGTGAGGAAGACTATACTATCAGAAGGAACATAATTTATCAAGCTGCAATAAGCAAAATCAACTGTATACTAATAAACAATCAGAATATATAATTTTTTAATATTATTTACAATAGAAATAGTGTACATTTCCTAGAAATAAGCCTAGGAAAATAGAAATAAGCTTATTTCCTAAAATAAGCCTGTAATTTAAAAAGTATAAGACATTATTGGGAGAAATATATAACTTTTCTAGGAAACCTAACAACAGATAAGAGAATTCTATCCTGTTCCAATCTGGGAGAACTCAACAGATAAATCTGTGACACTTCTTTCAAAGCCTATCTACAAACTTAGTATAACTCTAATAAAAAACTCCAACAAAAATTTTTTGAGTATGTGGAACCTGACAGGCTGATTTTAAAATGCACATGGAAGAGACATGCCAAAAAGCAGCTAAGAGGAATTCGATTCCTCAAGGGGCAGGGTTGAAAGAACTCACCAGATATTAATATTACTAAAAAAAAAAACACACACACACACATAACAGCAACAATGTAAAACAAACACTCCCAACATGTACAGAAACTTGATATATGACAGAGATATCTTGACAAACCACTGGGGAAAGGAATGGATTATGTTTTGGAAGTGCTGAAACAACTGATTATCCATATGGAAAAAAATAAAATTAGTTCCCTCACTAGTATCATAAATAAAATAAACTTCAGGTTGGATTAAAAACACAAATGCAAAAAGGCAAAGCTTTTTCATTTCTAAATAAAGTATAAAATCTTTATCACTACAAAGCAGAGAAAAATTTCTTGGTCAGGGTACCAAAAGAAAAAAAAAAAAAAACACTGTATTTTAAAGCAAGATTTCAAAAGTATCAACCTTAAAAGAAGAGACTCATAATTTGATTTTATTATTCTGTAAAACAAAATATTAATATACAAAGCAAAAAAGAGAAGACACAGACAGAATAAACATTTGCTAACTATGTAATCTTCAAAGAATTAGTTTCCAGACTGTTCCAGAATGCATTACCTACAGAGAAAGAGATAAATAGGAAAAATGTGGACAACATATTCACAGGAGAGAAAATTAAAATACCCAATAAATTAAGTATCTCGCATTAAGTAATCAGGGAACTGCAAATTAAAATATGTGATCAATTCAGGTCTATTAGAACGACAAAATTTATATCAATAATAGAACTTTGGCAAAGAGAGTGATGGGGAACAGTGATATTACTGGTGAGAGTGTAAAATTGGTAAAGCAGTAGAAAGCAATTTGGCAGTATTTAGTAAAGTTAAACATGGGTATGCTCTATCACTCCAGAACTATTTCCAGGTTTGTGTGTGTGTGCGTGTGCATGTGTGTGCGCGCATATGTATCTAGAAAAGTATAAAGTATGAGTAAGAGACATAAAAAAAAATTTCCTCTCAGTTTTTCTAGTATCATCAAGAAAGCATAAGCTACTAAAGTATCTATCACAGGCATAGTTAAATAAATAGTTAAATAACTATTAGTTAAATAACTGTGCATTCTTAGAACAAATGAATGAACAAGAGATGCACATATCAATGGGCATAAATATGAAAAATGTACAGTTATATTTATAGTGTGAAATCATTAATGTTAAAATATGAAAGTGAAGTGAAAGTCACTCAGTTGTGTCTGACTCTTTGCGACCCCTTGGCCTTCTCCAGGCCAGAATACTGGAGTGGGTAGCCTTTCCTTTCTCCTGGGGATCTTCCCAACCCAGGAATTAAACCAGGGTTTCCTGCATAACAGGTGGATTCTTTACCAACGGAGCTATCAGGGAAGCCCTAAAATATGAAAAGTAATCGCTAAATGCACATACCTGTAGAGCAAAAGTCAATAAATAAAAACTTACTAATGCTTTTAATAAAGTAAGAATGATGGCGACCCCCTTCTTCCTCAGATCAGGAAGGAAGGGCCCAGAGGATTCGAGATTATATACATCTATTTCTTTCCTCCAAACTTGAAGTAAATATGGTGAAATGCTATGATGTGGCTCAGTGGGTGACAGTACACAGATGTTTATGATTTTCTCTATACTCTTGCATACTTGAAATAATATATGCTTTGTTCAACATATTTCCTGAAAGTGAGTACACTTGACCCATAGGAGAACCACCTGGAGTCTCACTCATAGCCGGTGCTGTGGATGGGATTTTAATATAATTATCTGTCCTTATGTTTGTCAAATTCATTTCTGAGTAGTGGCTGCAGTGAGTGGGAAGGGGAAGAAAAGGAAGAGAGTGTATAGGGAAAACTAGGGCCTCTGGCAGCCAACCAGCATTGT